CAGACAGACTTAAAGAACTATCAGTTTGTGGAGAATCCAAACTCTATTAACTCTGAGCTAGGAACTGAACTAGGAATTTGATGGTGCAAAGGGTTGCTGTAGGGACAGCAAGGCTTCCCTCTGTAACAGATAAACAATTTTCAGAATCCATACCTTATAAAAGGGAACATCTCTGACAGCAGAAGACAAGTTTTTGTCTCTTTTACAAAAGCAACAGAGGAATTTGCAGCAGAAAACTGGGAAAACTTGAATCTGATTTAGTTATCCTTTTATTAGAAGGTCAAAAGGTTCCAAGAAGCTTACATCATTATTTCTTCAGATAACAATACTTTCCTGCAAACTGTTAGAATTGTTTGTGCCTAAATTGTTAAAAATCATCTTTTAATGCAATAATTTGCTTTGACTTTGCTATGAGACCCCTGAATCTAAATTTTAAGCATGACATAGTTTTCTGTTTGTTCGAAACAAATTTGATTAAAACCTGTCTTATGTGAATGGCAGCCCCTTCCAAGCACACTGTTAAATGTTATATACAGAGTGCTTAATACTTACAAGCTTATATTAAATTGAATTTGCAGCTCAGCTTTGAAGAACAACTTCTATCCAGACTAAGCTCTTTATCCTTCCATAGTTCAAATGAGAAACTTCAAGCAAGTACATATAATGTATTTCTCATCTGAGTTTATTACTTCTATTAAAAATGTGGTTTGTTTGCCTTTTTCCTCGCAATTACATTTGTTATATCTTCACCTGACAGGTTAAGGAAATTTTTCTTAATTTCTATGTGCAAGAATACTTGTAAATGTGTCCTCCCCCAACAAAATGTACATTAGATGTTTAATGCCTTTTTATCTGGTCACACTCATATGGATGAAATGGTTAAAACTAATGAACAACATATAATTCTATTCAGGGATTTTGGCCCCACTTGTAAATCTATCTAATCTCTAAGCATAGAATGGGTCAAGTCACACCACAGACACTCAAAAGCAGTGTACCTTTCCTGCTGTCATGGTGGAGTGGAATACAGAGACTGCATTAGAGGGTATCCACCCTCCATCAGCAACCATACACTCTCTGAAATTAAATCAATGCTGCAAAAAACTGCCTTGTGGATGGATACATGAAGTTTTAACACATCTGTTAATGGAATTTCCTTAACAATTCCCTCAGTATAAGAATCTCCTGTTACTAAAACACCCGGAGTACCTGTTGTAATTTTTGCTAAAAGCTTGATTAGAGACACTTTAACAGAAAGAGTGAGCATGAGTTCTGTTATATAATCAGCGCAAAACTTTTAACACTCAACTTGATCTACTGGTCACAGCTTCAATACTAAGAACATTTGCAGGAGTGTGTCTCTGGTTTGGGATCATGGTCAAGTTTTCTTTCTCTACACAAATTTCCTCTATACTAATGCTAACACATAATGAGATAAAATGAGGTTCCACTTTGGTTTTTTTTGCAAAGACTTCAGTCAACGTCCATTAAGAAAAAGGCTTACTGATATCATTCTCTCTAAATCAGGGGAGCAATTTTAGACACAGCAAAAATAAGCTTTAAAAACTGGCACCAGAGACCACAAACTGAGATTTTATGCTCCCCAAGTAAATTACAATGTCTAAAATAGTTTAAATTTAAAATATATTATTATTTGTATATAAGCAACTACAACAAATGAGTATTTCCTCATATACAGACTATTTTCATTACATTACTCTACATTTATTCAGTCCAATACATTTGACTTCTGTCATGTTCCTGTACCACATTCTTTTTTTCAGAACTACATCTGTTTTCTCATCTCCAAGACATTTCGGGGTTATCTGATTAGCTTTTCACCTGGACAACTGTCCTCATCCAGTCAGGGCTCTTTGTGGGAGAGCAGCATCTGATCCACACCTCCTGCTGAGGGCCGGCAGCTCAGCCGGGATGGGGCTCCCCAGTCCCTCTCCTGTCTGCCACTGACCCCCAGTGGTTTCACCTATATTTGCTCTGCCTCACTGTTCACAGACTGCTGCTGCTACTATGGAATGATGCTTGGATCATGCTAGCACATCTGAAAGCAAACAAGACCCAGCATTTGGATGACCACTGTTTCACCGCCACCAATCACAGAATCAAAGAATGATTTGGGTAGAAAGGAGCCTCTGGAAGTCATCTGCTTCAATAAGCCCTGATTGGAGCAATTCAGACTGCTCAGGACTTTATTCAGCTAGATCAAAATTCCACAGACTGAACAGTCTGTTCCAATGTCTGTTACTCTCAATGATAAAAAGTTTTTTTCCCTTATTTGTTTAGAATTCCCCTTGTTACAACTTGTGTTCAGCTCCAATTGGCTCAGTTACACAAGCTAAAGAAAGGAAGCAGAGGAAGAGGCAGCTGTTCCCAGAGAAGAGAATCCCTCCTGAGACACTGTCCAACCTCCCTGGCAAAAGGAAATGTTTAGTTATGTAAGTCTGATCTTCACTCATCTGTACCTTTGTGCACTGGCAGAAAGATCAGGTCCCAACTTATTCTACTTCTAAGAAAGAAAGTTGTAAACAAAAAAAGCAAACCCCAAAAGGTCACCTCTGGAATAAGAGCACTTGTCAGTTCACAAAACCCCACTGAGTTTTCCTTTAGACTTTGTTATACAGAATGCAAAATTCCCAGATGAATACTTACAGGTAAGTATTCTTTTACAACAAATGTTTCACAGCTGGAAGAGACTTAGCCTATTCTATTTTTAACTTGAAAAATAATCTAATGAAATTTAAGCATTTACATAATGTGATTTTAAGATAACCATTATTTAAGTAATTGCTGATCATGCACAAATAGTTTTAAAGAACAACAACAAAAAAATCTTACTGCATATAAGAAAATGCCCGTTAATAGAATTATCTAAATTTAACTGGATAGATTGTCCATAATTTTTTCCAAGACTACTGGTTCAATCAATGAAACTAACATTCATCTTAAAGTTTTCCATACATATCATACTTGCAGCTCTACCCAATATTAAGCAAGAAATCAACAATTTCATCCTTAAAGCAAGTACATGTAATAAAAATATACCTGAATGCAGAGTATTTGGTAAAATCTGAGCTGTCTTCAATGTTCCATTGGTTTGTGTTGATTTTAGGGCCAGTCTAACATTCAGCATGCCAACAACAATGAATAAGCCTAATGCATTACGTAAGTGTAAGCTGATTAAATCCTTGATCCTGAAGCCACCTCTTTTCCCCCTCCCCCTCTGATTTAAAACTTAGCACAATTGAAAATCTTAGTTTTAAACATTTCCAAAACCCAATTTGTACCATTTTTAGCATAAAACCCATTACAATTTTACATTACTATAACACCCTCAGGTTTTAGCTTTTCTTCTATTTTCATAAACCTGGTATTTCATACACTTTATTTACTAAACCTGATAAAAGCCCTTTCTAAAGTGATCAGTTCCCCAACAAATTTTAATTTTGTGGTCAACTTTTGGGATTAAAAAAAAAAAAAAAGAAAAATAAGTGTCCTGAATGGAATGAAGATAGAAGTGTTATTTAAGTTATCAGGTCTGAGCTTTACCCACAAAACTCACAGCAAATTCAATTCAATAGAGAGCCATAAAGCTTAGCCCTGGCAAGAAGTAAGACTGTAAGGCATTCTGCACATGCCAGTCCTAATTTCCAAATATACTATATCCCAAATGTAGTATCTGAGCTACAACCCACACAGAGGAGTAGATCAGGGGAGGTCATGAAAGAGTTATGTTCCCCCAGCACTTTAGAGCACCATGATCTCACTACATTGTCAATATGACAATGGCAGCAGGATAAACGGATCCATGCAGCAGAGGGTATCAGCCAGTGTTCTCTACAGAAAAGGAACGTAGAAAGCAATACATGATTAACTGCTGTGAATAGGGAAAAAATTCTTTCCCCTAGGTCCACAAAACAAGCTGCAAAGAGCTGCAAACTGACTGAACAACTCTATTGCTACATGGGAGAGTGTGTGATTTTTAAATGTTAATTATCAGGCAATATACAAGCATAGAACTGTTGAATCTGCACAGCTGGTTTTAAGATTCTCAGCTTGAAAAAACTGATTTGTCTGCTTTTAAACTTGAAGTATTATTTTACTCTGAGAAAGACCCATACGCACATTTGTAAAGTGACAGTGCTTTATTGAGATAATTTAACTATGTATTGGTGAGTTCAAAAGTATTTACTGAAACTTTAAGATGTTTTAAGATAGCTGACTATAGCTGGAGTGTCTTGGTAAAGGCAGCAGAATGGTCCTGAACAAACAAGACCAGACTATGCTTTGCAGAATCTTCATTCATCTTGAAGATAAGACAAGAGAGAAGAAAGTAAGAAGAGTTTCAGCTCAGAAGTAGAAGGATTTTAAGCCATGTTAATTTTGAAAGAGATATACTATGTTTTGTGTATAAAAGAGAAAATGTTGAAGCCAGGAATCACAGGTTGCCTCTGGTATGTAAGCTGTATTTTAAATTAGAAACCTAGTCATATATTAGTCAAAAAACCTCCATGTGTAGAAATGAATCAAGCGCATAAAAACAGTATAAAGTGATGGCTCTGAGGGGTATGCAAGCTCTTCTACCAGCATCTGAAAAATCCCAATTCATAGATACATCCTCATATTTCAACATATAACAGTATGTCATGAATCAGTACCAGTGAGATAAATCAAGGAAAAGATATGTGGACAGGCAATATAAGTGTGAAAGAATAATGTAGCTTGTTTTTACTTCACACAGAATGAATACAACAGATTAGAACATGAATTAATAAGACTCCAGAGCTTCTCACATCACACAAGTTCTTTCTAGACAGAAAGTTCAGAGTAGCTGATGAAAAAGACACATTGTCCCATTCACTTTCTAACAAAATCAAAGCTAAGATCAATATATTTTTCCCCAGTTTCCATCATTACACACCTTGAAAAGTAGTAATTTTTAAAACACAAAATATTTATCCAAACCTTTAAGATTGATTACATACCCCATTCTCCGTTCGTTTCTCCACAGGTATATTTATACCATTTCTTTGATTTTGGACTTGACGTACACCTAAAAGTAAATCATCACTCTTAGTGCAAAGTTCAGTTTTCAACACAAATGCATTTTACTCTCCAGTCTGTTCTCATATGTTCTGAGAATTCTGTTCAAGAATTTGTATCAAACTTTACCTGTGAATTTTCATTCTACCAGTTCCAACTCTTTCTTAGTAAAGTTACTTTTTGTAAGCAGTGAATCAGCAGAAATAAAGCCTTCACAGAATTCATCAGATAAAAGTACAGATATGCAGCTCTATTTTCCTGACTTCTCTTTAGGCAAAATGTCATGAAGGGCAATGTACTCAAGTTTTGTATTTTGTGTCCATAAGAAGCAGTAGCTTCAACTGAAAACATCATAAATTAATGTAGTAGAGGAAGTTTTTCTAATGTCTAACTATTAAACAACTTTAATCTAGAAATCTATCCATAGCTCAATGATGAATTCAAAAGCCTTGCAAGCATGGTTCAGGAGCAATGCTTTCCTTGTACATTGAAATTCTTTGGCTTTAAGTGTATTTTAAATTTCTTAACTTAATACTTTATATGTGTATTGCCCAAAGGATAACAGACTATTGTACAAAGTACCTAATTAATACAAAATTCCCTCACACATTTTTGGGTCTGCTATTTCTGCATTCAAAACAAGCACAAACCACTTAAAAATAAAAAGCCTCAGCTGAAAGCAATAAGGACTCAGCAAAGACTTGAAATCCTGTTGTTAAAAGTAGTCAGATTAGTTGAATGAGTCAGGATAATCTGGGCATGCAAACACACCTCACTGAGACACCTTTCCTGTCCTTCAGACAGTCTGACAGCCATTAAGTCTACAATGCACAGCCTCAAAACTTCTCATAGATTAAGCACAGTCTTCACCACTAAGTTCAGAAAGCTCAAACACTTGCATTTTTTTTATTCTAGTCTTTTAAGAAACCCCACTTCATAGGGCACTGTTCCATATAAACACTTATCCTATAGAACCAAGCAGACCAGCAATTTTTCAAGATACAAATTTTCACGACTATTAAATATACCTCCATGAAAAACTGAGAAAGCAAAGGTACTGAAACCTCTGCCAGTGATGTTTGTAAAATAGATCTGAGTTTTTAAAGGAGGCAAAGGAGTTTACAAAGTATTTCTCTGTACAACTGAAAGAAAAAAGAACCATTCTACCCTCTCAAAATGTAGGGACTTTCAATAAGAAAAAAACTACATCAAGTCTCTAAATATCCACTAACTTTTTTAGATCCAAATTAAGCAGAATACAAACAGATCTTGCTATTACTCAACAGACTGGTAAAAATTATTTTAAAGAAGAGAACTGGTGCACAAGAAAAAGGTGCCCCTGGGAAGGTTCAAAACGGCTTTGGTACAAGAAAGTTTTATTACATATAACCACTGAGGTTCACTGAACGAACTGAAAACCAAACTCCCTTCAGAAATCTTTTAAAATCTGTTTCAGTGACAACACTACAGGATAAATGTACTTACTCTGTTCATTGCTTTCAGCTGGTGACTCTTCATGACGAAGAAAAAATTTCACCTCTTCCCTGCGGGGCCCCCACTTCTGCAGGTGGTCATACATCATGTGATCAAAGGGTATGGGGCGCTCTGCAAGTACACGACCAAAAAAACCTCATCACAACTCTTTAAAACCAAGCAGGATTATACAGAACTCTTATTAATAGTCAGAATGTCCTTTTTGGTAGCAATTCAATCTATCGGATGTATTTTGTCTTACATGAAGTCTAAGCAACAGGCACCCACTGGATGTGTGGTATTAAAAGCTGGCCTGTTCCTGTAACACAGCTCACTGCTCCACAGGACTACAGAACCAGCTTGCAAACCCATACCAGTGTTTAGGAACCCTAATTTAGGAAATAGCAACTTTGCTCCCCATCAACACCAAATGGGCCATTTGTTCTATTATTAAAATGATTCATTTGATTTGAACCTCTGTGTTTCCACACAGACACAAACCCTTAACATTATATTGACATTTCATCTCCTAAGAACTTGAGCAGGTATTCCCTCTCTAACACACTTTGCTACACATTAACTTCCAGTATATGTGAATTACAGGCAACTCTTTGAACAAATAAAGACCAAGTTCTTTGCAACAGTCAGTCTCTGTGCTTCTCCCCAAGAAAACATTTGCATATGGTAATTATTTCTTCTAAATTGATCACATATATTGTTATTAAGAGACTGCACACGATGTATTTAGTATTTCAAAATGAAGATACATTTAAGACAAGTTTTTCACTGCTTCCATAATTACACTTGCATTTTTTACCAGGTGTTTTTATTAAGATAATAAAATACCCATTTTAAGATCTAATACTAGCTAAGGTACCAAAATATATCTTCTAACCAGAATAAAATTTTATTATACTATATACTCTACTTTGTTGTTAAAAGCAAAGTACTTTTGGCTTCCAAAATCCAAACCACACTATCTCCTACCAGGAAAAGTACCTCTAAAATATGTTATCCATTTCATACTTCACTCATTTGACATGAGAAGACAAAACTATTCAAAGATATAAGAGAAATTTTGGGAAAAGCTTGGGAAAACCAATTCACAAATACACCCTTATGTAATGAAATTTACTTAAATATATATTCATGACGAACTACATAGATGTACATGTCTTGATACTCCTAGGATACTTAATTGTTAAAAACCAATGTATTTTAATCAATTGTTTTACAATGAATTTAATACCATAAACTTTTATCAAATAGGTCATGTCAAGTAGGTATGTGATTAACACAATTTAGCCACAGTTAGATCTAGCTGCTTTCAGTGAGGAAGGGTCATTCAAACCACAAGCTAATCACATTCATCAGGTGACTGGTTATTTATCTTTCTTTAAAAAAAAACCTGCCCCCCCAAAAAACTCAACCCCCCCAAACCAAACCAACAACTAAATTAAAAAAATTGATTATTTGTTTCACTTCTTCCTGTTCCTCACTCAAGTGGTGTTGTAGAAACATTGTCAGTAATGTTTAAGCACACGAGAATAAGGTCAGTGGCTTATTACTACTCAGTTCTTGAAAAGGAATTTTAAAAGCATGATTTTCAGGTTTTTCAACTCCTAAAGTAAAGTAAGGTTTCAAGTGCTTTGAAGCATATCCACTAAAATTGCAGCATGAGTCTTCTAAAGATCACTGAATGTAAAAATATTTAAGTGGTTTAGTTCAGAGACTTCAGAACACAAGATATGAATCTTTAAGAATTTCTCCCAAACAGAAAAATTGCTAGGCAAACCCAACTGCAACAGGGCTGGACTAATCATGGAATGGTGAGGAGTAGCTGCACCTTCACTCCTGGTTGAGCTGCTCTCCCAATGAAAGTAAGGCCTGATCCCAGGAGCTAGTCAAAGAAAGGGGTGTCATTTACATAATGCACCTTCAATAATTAAGACTAATATCTTTCAAACAGAGACAGTGGAAAGAAATGGCAAAGATGTTTTCTACTAGTTTAGCAGTTCATTCACAAAACCAGTTTGGGATGTTATCCTAAGGTAGAGAGAAAACAGGTTAAAGTAGCAACAGCATCATCAACATCAGTGAAAGAATGAAAAGAAAGACGGACCAGCACTAATCATTCTGTGCAACCTAGCTACACTAAACAAATTCAGGAAACAAAGAGGAAGAAGAAATGGACATTAACACTTAACACAAGACATGGTAAGAATTGAAATCTCCATTCCTTCCTACAGTTTGAATCCCTTAAATCTATAAGAAGTGTGAGAAGAAAGCATGATTTTATATTTGTAGTATAATAGTACAAGAGATATTTTCTGAAAATCCCGGTTAAGAACCAAAATCAAATCAAATCAAAACAAAGACAAACACTACAGTTAAATTTTTCCTGGTTGTTATAGCTTCAGAAATATTTGTCAGCAACTGGTTTCTCAAAACTATTTTAAACTTTAATTTTGAAAAAAATTAAATAAAAGAGAGCCTTCTGAGAGTGTGAAGAAAACATTACATAGGAAAATGGGTGTAATAAAAAAGCTGGATTCCTATACTTTAGCAACACATCAAAAATTATTTAGAGAACATTTGTTTTCATGCATAACAAAGCAGAAAACCATGCTAAATGCATACATCCATACTTACCTGAAAAAACTGCATTAGATTTTAAATTGGATGAAGATTCTACAATATTTTTGAGAAATGAGCTGTACTACTTTCCTTTTAGCAAAAGTTTTGAGGATGGGCTAGTTTCAAGTATTCCAAAACAAAACACCCTGTAAATCTGACACACAGACACTGCACCAATGTTTCAGAAAAGAGTTGCAAAATTCTTCCAGTGGAGCTACAAATCCACCACTTAAAAGTAAGTTTCAGTCTTCAAAATCTGTTTCCATCCTGATTTCAAGGATCCTACTATGTGAAATAAACATGTTTATGCCTCCTCGACGTGAAACCAGAATAAAATATAATGGATTTGCTCCATAGGGGAGTTTGCTGCGATATCTGAAATTAGTTTTTCCCTGCTCAGGTTTGCAGAAGTACACTCAGAGCAAAAAACTATTTCTTTCACACTCTCTTGCCTCCTGTGTTACCACGACACTGAGGAATCCCTGTTATGACCAGTTGCTGAAGGGCACTCCAGGTGTAAACGAACTGAAAAATTCAGTACTGGGTGGATTTAAAGGTTGTAATCAATTCTCTTGTAACATACATAATTCCAAGTTCCTGGCCTCACACCTGTCTTTGACCCTCCTTACCAATTGCTATTTGCAATAACAGGGGAATGAGGAAGAACATTCTGGTTTAGCCTCCTGTTACAGCATCAGAAATCCTTGCAAAAAGAGTAAGCTCCAAACTGACAAAGCCTGATATATGAGGCACAAACGCTACTGACTTTTTCAACTACTGCTCATCTCAAGAAACTGGAAAGGAGAGGGAACAGAGAATGAAACACCAAAATTAAATGGGAATAAATTAAATGCGTAGTCCATGCAGGTCTGAGAATAATCAGTTTCTTGACTCTAATGCAAACAACACCTAAATTATTTTACAACTCTTGTGAAGCCCTCAACCATTTCTTTGCCACACAAAAGCAAAGAAATGAAAGCTACAATAGTAACTAAACCAATGTTTTCCAACAGCTAAACTACTGTAATCTTCCTCTGCACTGTAGAAATCTTACATAATTTTTGGATTTAGTAACATTTTTCGGGAAGAAAATTGGTCTCTCATCCTCTAAAAATAAAATCAAGTGTTTATCACCTACCTGTACATACACATTCAAAACAGGAAGACTATTAAAATAGACAGTATATTGTTAGAGCAATACAGTTGAGAAAGGCTTTTGGGCATGCAAACTCTTATTTGTACCTGATGATAAGATTACAGTCCGCAAGCCCCAGTGCTTTGAATTTGAATAGAGATGCATTATTCAGCTGGGCTACCTAAAAGAAGCTGTGGCTACCTGTAGAGCAGAGGAGTTAAGCACAGACTCTCTCTTATGGAGGGAGTTGTCATTTGTCATTTGTGCCACAGGGAGAGACTGCCAGGAAAACAGACCACTTACAGTGTGTGACTAAATCTATCGTGGCTTTTTCAGCCCATGATTTGCTGTATTAACTTCTGTTTTGAATTTTAGTTTTCAAAATGTCCTCTGAAAGAACACTTGCAGATCTCTTGAGGATAAGGGTGAGGGATCAGAGACAGTGTAATAAAAGAGATAAAATATGCTTTTCCACTGGCACAACATGCAGCAGTTTTACTGCAAATTGCCTCACACTTCCCACTCAGAACCATAGTTTAAAGTTGGTTGTTGTAACTGTCACATTTAACTGTTCAGATTCTCGTTTTCTACATCAGACCTCCGCTCCAGGCAAAATTATTTTTACAAATTTCTGTTGAAAGACTTCAATTTAGCTCTCAGAAGAAGCAGACAGAAAAATTATCATATATATACGCCCAGGTCGTCCCACTGAGAAATCTATGTACCCTAGACTTTGGGTCAAGAAGCTGAGGTCACAGATTATCTAACAGCATCCTACATTTAAGAACAATGAAATAAACATTTGTGCTGAAAGTTCCATCAGAGAGCCTTAAAACAAATGTGTAGGATATCATTTTTGCTGACACTACAGGTCAAAGACCCAGAAACATAAGTGAGTTTCATTTTTTTCTTTCATTCTCTCCAGTATTTTCTATTCTACACTTCAAGTGGAATAGATCTATACAGTTATCACCTTGGGGATTTAGCAAGTAAAGCTACCTTTGTGAAAGCACCTTCATGTCAGTTTTACCAGAAGCTCAGGTAGAAGCTCTGGGCAGGCCTCTGCTCCCTCACCTATGTGTCTGTATGTAGATATCCCCTTCAGAAAACTGGGTGAGATGAAAAGGAATTTAACAGAATTAACAGAAAACAACCAGCTAAAACAGACATCTCCTTATTCTATTCACAGTAATATCCAGATCTCCACTGACTTTAATGGGATCAAAGATAGATAATTCTCAGGGCAGATACACAAAATTTAGTTTTAGTCTCTCCATTGCAATTTCATGGATAAACTCTATCTCCCACTTTATAGAAGCTTGTAGGTTTCAATATCTAACACTTTGAGAAATAAAATATTACATCCACAGATGAAATATTTTCTCAATCTTAAAAGTTATCATAGAAAATCTGTGCTTCTAAGGTCCAAGTTTTGCAAGGTTTAAGTGTTCCAGGAAGATACTCAGGATCACCTTTCTAGTTTCCAGTGACCCTTCAAAGCTAGTTGACAACATTCTTTCCTATATTTTTTAAGAAGTATACCTTCAAAGTATTGTGAAAGCAAAAGAATAAATAATACCACATATGACACTCACTGACAAGAGATTGGAAAATATTAGGAATGTCTGGGTGCAGTAGAAGTCTGCAGATCCATTTTAGAAATCTGTGATGCACCGGCATCATAGACTCCACAACCTAAATTTGCAATTTGAAGAAGTTTTAACCATTCTTCAAGCTCTATGCTTAAAGACAAATTTTCTAACTGAGTGTGCACTGAATTTGTATTCCTAGAATTAGAGGCACACAATTCTTAACCCTACTCCCATTCACTCTTGCCTAAACTCTGTGTTTCCACTCAGGTAGGAAATAACTTCTTCAGGTACCTTTTCCTTTTACAAAGTCTTAGAACAGTTTAGAAAAAGATGAGCCATAGATCTTCTAGGAGGAAAATGTTCTAGACTGTCACTATGTAAAAGCTCCAAAGGCATCAGAATAATGCCTGTTTTGTTTGTCTGGCCAAACAAGCCCCAATCAAAATAAAACGCCTTTATACAAAATTTAGGAATTCAGTATCAAGTTATGACCTCATCAGCCCTTATACAAAACAAATTACATTAAATAGAGGTAATTTAAAAACTAAGATATAAGAACGGGGGATTGGAACTAGATGAACTGTAAGGTCCCTCCCTATGCCAACCCTTCCATGCTCCTATTCTATGACTCTATGAACATGTTTTGTTATCCCATCCACCAACTCTACTTCCATCCATACATTGATAAACAATAACCTGGAGGTTTGTACTACATGCAACTACAAGAATCCATTTAAAAACAGAATCTGCTGTGCATGGATTTTGACATATTCTGGAAAATAACTGCCTGCTTCATGATTCTGTGAAAAAATAATTGTAACACAAATAGGATATGGACACTACTGCTCCTAGAGAGGCTGGCAGATCTTTGAGAGCAAATATTCACAAATAGGTGAGAGATACTAACTATGTCCCATTCTGCCATGGCTCTGTCTGTAGAGCATTTGCTATTCATGATACAGAAGGAAAAAATAATCTATACCCTTTCTTAAATTTCAGCTAGTGCTCACATGCTAGAAGTGAGGAAATAGGACTGGAAAGAATGCAGGTGGTGATCTGCACCCACTGACTGAAAAAATATCATCATGAGATTCCCTACTGTCATTTAAATACCCTCCATCCTATTAGAAAAACAAATACAGAACACTAACAGGCCTTACACATGCATTTCATCAAATACTTCATGCTGAGGAAGAAAACAGAGAAGAGTCAAGAATTACATTAATCTCTCCAATTATTTGAATTACCATCCTTTGCATAAAGGCTAATAGACTGGAAGAAAAAAGATTACAATACGTAATTGAAATAATTAGTATTATGAAGTCACTCCTTTTTTATAATTGGTGCACATATTAAAACCCATTTCCAGTGAACATTTCACTTACCATTTCCACGCCATACTTCAGCCAGATGGCAGCTTCCTTCTCCAGGCTCTTTGCAGAACTCCACTACATCGCGACAGGTTGTTTCTGGTGTAATTGGAACTTCTGTCAGAATCTGTTCATTGTTGCTCAGAAACACAGTTAATATCATCTGAAAGAAATAAAAAGAAGAGTAGCAGAATATTAGAAAAAGACAAGAGAGACATAAACAAGCTTATGGGTAATTTTTTCCCCCCTCTATAAATGGAAATGTATGCCTAGGATTAGTTACCACATTCCAAAATTGTTTCCAGTTTCCTGTAAATTTGACAAAGATTTAGTCCTTTGTGTTCATTTTTTTTTGACAGTACATTGAATTGACCCTTTTTTTTAATAAAAGTTGAGTTGAAATCCTTTAGTGCTGTCTGAAAATAAGGTTGGGAAGAAAGGAACAAGTTTCAGTTGTGTTAGTTGCTTGAAATCATAGCATTTAAATATTGAAAATAAATTCACACTTTGGCAAAGTAATCAGAAGCTTCAGGATGTACTCAAAGACAAGTTTTCCTAAAATGCATTCAATACTTTGAAAGACACCGTACCCTAAGATCCTACTTAAAATTAAATGAATAATTTTATACATTCTCTCTGTACCTTAATTCCCATCTGTAGTGACAACACTGTTCTGTAAACAGTAGATGGAAAAGAGAGAAGAACATCATGTTTTAGATGGCAAAAAATACTGTAATAGTAAGTGTCCCTAAAGAACACGACATAGTTAGTAACTTTACCTGCGATGAAAGTTCTGCCAGACCTTTCCCATAAATAAAATGTGGCATCACATACAGAACCTAATAACAGCTCTTCATTAAATGAGCACTCTCCAGGTAAATAAAAGTTGTGCTCCAATTTGCATAGGCAACTCCTAAAAACATTCATAATACTTTTATCTGTGGGACACATACATCAGCCAGACTGGAGACTGACATTAATAACAGCTAGATACTGAGTAAGAGCAGTCTGTCTACTTTAGAAATAGACACAGGACAAATTCCAAGAAAGCCCAGGCTTCAAGCTCTCCGTCTCGTCAGTCCTCCAGGCTATTTCAGTCCAGGTTTCTACTCTCCCTCAGCCTGCCAAGTTTGCATGCTGTGCCCTGAAGTTTTCAAGTACCTACACTTCAACACAAGAAGCAGTCAACCAGAACTGAAAATACACCAGAATTCAGCCCCGAGTTTTTCCAACAGCAGCATAGAGGAAGCCATGGTAAAAGCTACAATACGAGCTGGAGGAAGCTACAGGATGCAGCCAACAGATAATACTGGAAGTGTCTGTAACCACCTACTGTAAACAGCTCAAAACATTATTGTTCCCCCAAAAGAAGATTCAGACAGTCTCAATATTCAGTGACTGTGGTTATGTAACAAGTGACTGATGGTGAATCTATTAGTGGAATTTGACCTCGTATTTAAGAAGAAAGAGTCACACACATGAACATAAACCAACAGGCTTAGAAGAAACCTTAAGAGGTCATCTAATGCAGTCTCTTGGCCTCAGGCAGGATAAACTATACCTGCATTATTCTGCAGAGATGCTTGTCTAACCTGTTCTGAAAAGCCTTTCATGATGAAAATTCCACCACTTCCCTAAGCCATCCACCCCAGAAATCCAGGATTCCTGTTGCAAGAGGAAGTTTCTTAAAGCCTAGTTAAAGTTTTCCTTAGCACCATTTAAACCCCATAGTTCTTTTAGCCACAGGGGAAATAGAAAACACATTTTTCCTCCACAGTTAAATTTAAAGAACGTGTAATATGTAAGTAAATTAAGTAACTTAAATAATACCAGTTCAACAAAGTTATTACTGCCAGTATTTCAAACATTTTCCCCATAGCTCTTGATAGCAGTTTCAGAACAAAATCCAAACTTCTGAAACTTTTTGAGAATATCAGGTGACCCTGGCTTTACTGCCTCATAATCATGTGTGGAAGACCTGTTTTCCTGGTTTGAAAGGACATACAGAATGTCTTAACATCATGTGACTTTACATGGTTTCCAGGTTTTGATTTCCTTATTGCTGTAAGAGTAACACCAGCCCAGAAAACTTGTTTTATATCTTCAAGATTATCTATCTGCTTCTGTAGACAAACTGAAAGAGAAAGAAGAGCCCTGTAGATGTGAGTTATCCTATTTATCTCAGTCACTTCTCCATAAATTCCAATCTCAAGCACTACATGAACTCACAGTCCCCTTGGCAACACCAGGACAAAGTTTGCTGTACCTCAGTCACACCACTTGACTCCCTCAGCTCAGAGGGCATCAGTATTGTCCTCTGCAAAGCTGGGTGGCACAGTTTCAGCCCAGGGAAAGGTATCTCACTAATGAGGAAGCGAGGTGCTGCAGCCAACAACTGGTGTAACACTCCTCAAAGAAACTTGATTAAGTAAGGATTTGTTTTTAACAGGTTGAGTAATACTAAAGGAACTGCAACACTGTGCTGCAAAACAAATATCCTGAAACATACACAGCAAGACTCGAAATATTAAACATTATTACAATGCTAATTATATATATATATTGCAATATTAATTACAATTTCAAGTCAATGTTATACCTGTGCCTGTTTGTGGTGGGAAAGGGTAAGAATCAGAGGTACTACATGGTGATAAAATAGAAATAAGCATTGATGGAGCCTGGAAATTTGCTGCTGAGGAACAAAAGTGAAGCATACACATGAAATACCCAAGTATACCCACTGAAGTAAACCAGTTACATGAAAAAAACATTCTTCACCAAAGATTAGGACACAAAACAACTAATAAAGTCTTTGATTTCTCATTTTAAATTGTTTTCTAAACAGGAGCAGCTGAATAAAACTTCTCTTGTAAAATTGTGACCACAACCATTGTAGCATTTCTTTGATCATCTCTCAAGTCATAGTTTTTAATACATGAACACAATGTCACACAACAGGATCAACCTAACACTCATATGAAAATCATCTCAGGGATTCTAAATCATTACTTTTTTCCACAATAAACATCAAGCTCCAAACTTGACACTTCTTCCTTCTTACCACACACATGGGTATTGCCTGTTACTCCCCTCTATGGTTCCTGCTACCCAACCAATGGTTTGATTCCAAATTTCACAAATTCTCATTTATTTTCACTCAGTTTTTCTTTTTTTTAACCTTCATGCAAACTCCAGTGTATGTCATCACATTACAGGTCTTTTACATACCAAAGAAGCTACAGCAAACCTCCCAAGCTGGCTTCTAAACTACTGTCATCTCACTTCCCAGCTGACAGATGACCTCCTCCTAGGACCTGGAATCAGTCCTCCACCCGAATCTTCTCTGTCCAACAGATCCCTGTCTAACACTTGCACGCATTGCTCTTAGCGTGGTCTCTCCCCTTCATCCATTCCCTCTTCAAACCATACTTCATGTATTATTTAAAGGATACATTTCATCATTCCTGCAGTTTCTCAAGGAGATAGAGACAGGGATAAACCTACAAGAACATTTTCCTTGCTTATTATCTCACCTCTTTCTACAGTTGAATAATGTCACCTACAAAACTTTCAATAGGCATCACTCACACAGACGACAGTTTTATCTACCTAGACCTGATCTCTTGCTAAGGAAACTGAAATGTTAGCAATCTTCAATTGACTCTTATGAATGCCTAGCTGTCAATTCAAGTTCTACAAGGCTCTAACACAGTCCTTAGCCATGTTTCTCCAATGATTCCCTAGATTTCATTCATCATAACATACAGGTACCTAATCACCCTGAGCTGCAGTGTAGACATCTCTGACATAAACCATTTTCTCAGTCTTCTGTCACAGATCTATCTCTACTTTTCCTGTACCATATGTAAAACAGAGAAAGGTGTTTTTTTTCCATAAAGTGGTCCAGCTAATGCTCTCAGTTTGCAAACTTGTAAAAAACATTTTCCAACATTTTGCTGGTGTGCCTTTTTCACTCATGATAACTGTCAAAATAAAAATCATATAGCCTTTACCCAGCTGCCTTTCTGTGTCAGTCTTGATAAGCATAATTTGTTTTCACTTTCAATCTTCTTTCTTATCACTTTTCACTTTCTATCAAGAAATTTATGTCAAATTGGCCCTTTACACCTGTTTCTACTCTCCATGTGTTTTTAACATTAACAGGTGTTTTTATGGTTTTTTTCAGTGCTGTCCACCATGCCTTATGTGCACCTGCAAAGCAACCTCATTATTTTCCTTGGAGATCCTCCTTTGCCGTTCTGGCTAAAAGAACACATCAGACACAAGTCTAAGTCACTAATATGCTGCACTGTGCTGCCAACGAGGTGATAAATATTGTTTTGTCTCCTTAGACTTCTGTAACCATCCAGTTCATCGCTTTCTTCATCACTAACCAAGATTCCAAGAGCTGTGCCAAGGAGATACATGCAATTTATCTACCACAGCAGAGATCCCACTAGTGTCAACTAAATGCCTTACACACAACTATACAAATACAAATCATCTTTCAAATGGGTCTAATGGCCTTTCTTCTAAATGAGCTTGGTCTGGCTGTCCTAGAATCCACCTTGACCCCACTACTTGTGTTTTGCCATTTAAGTTACACTCCCTTAGTACAATGTGTGCAATTATTTATGACTGCAATAAAACTAAACTGCCACCCCAAAGATAGCCGATGTAGCATGTTGATTCTTAGCTAAGGTATGGTCTAGAAAGCCAAAATTCCAACTGCTGAACAAAGTCCTTTTCTTTATCTTCAGCTAGTGAATTAAAAAAGTGTACAGTTAACTAAATCCTCTTTAACAATTTTTATGGAGACAAGAACTACATCTCTCTCAGCTATTACCTCATGCTACCAAGACCCAAAACACGGCAGCTTGAGAAGAAAAGTTGTACACCCACACCTTCATTGCTTTATGTCCAAGCCAATTTACTAAGTCAGGCAGCTGATAATATTATTGTAAAAACAACAAAGTCCATGTAAGTAGGCATTTCCTGATATCCTACTCACACCAAAATGAGGTATATAAGCTATTGGAAAGGAACCAGACAAGTATTATTTCAGAACATGCTGAAACATTAGAAGTAAAAACAGGTTTAAGATTATGTTCTTATAGCAATATTGGCATATTCTACTACAAAAAAGGAAGTGAGTTCTGTGGT